CATGGATGGATGTAGCAGTTACATTAGAGTGTATTCTTAGTAGAACAGAGAAGATTGTCGTAGGGGAATGCCAAGAGGTCATCAGTAAAGCTTGTGCAGACTTAGGCTCACATCTTTCCTTGTTTTAAGAACTGATCAGCAGAGAAGGAGACTTACAAATACAAAGCTCTAAATAGCTAAAGTCAGGAAAACTGTGGTCTGTAGGTTAACAGGGTGATCTAAAATTTAGCAAAAACAAAAGAATCCTGATATGACTTAAGAAATGTCAGAATTGCATTTTAATTCAGGTTATATAAAGTATAGATCATATAAGGATCAGTTCTTCCTCAAAGCTTTATCTTAAAAGAAGCCGTAACAGTATTTCATTTTGCTTAAGAAACTTGTTTCACTTGGCGACTTCTAGAGATGAGTAGATGGGGAAAGTATGACTATAAAATAAATAAATAAATAAATAAATAAATAAATAAATAAATAAATAAATAAATAAATGCAGAGGAAACCGAAGTTTTCCTTGTAGAGGGAGCAAAGATAGAGACAGATAGATGGGACCAGAGGGTTGCAAAAGTTCAGTCCTTGGGATTCTCTTTAGTTTTAATACAATCTGCAAGTGTTTGTGATTTCCTATCTTTCAGTATCTTTCTTCAGTTTTGATAATAGTTATAAAACTATCTTATTAATCTCTTGTAAGTTAGCAATATTATCATTTCTTCTCTTAGCTGCTTCTAAATTTTATTTAAATAGACTGCACATTTATTTTCTTAAATCCATTGCATAGGACTTCTGCTTTAGAATGCAAAAATATCCAACTTGGAAATACCCAATGTTCCCCATTTTCTTTTCAAATATTTACAAATTAAATTATCATAATCATTAGATATAAAAACAACTAGAGTACCAAATAATGTCCGTCCCCCCCAGATATTTCCCTGTTTTTGAATTTCTGTTCTCTATTTTAATATATTTTTTCTTTCCTGAAAATATCAGTCTTCTCTTCTGGCTGTATTGTGTTTGCTTTCTGGGAGTTGCTCTCTCCTCTCCCTCCCCATTATGTGCTTTTTTATGGGAGTAACTCTTTCATAGTCTGGCCCCCACATTGGTTCTTTCCACAGTGTCTGCTTTTCACCTTGTCCATTTGTAAAAACATACGGGAGCTCAAAGACCCTGAGTGCTCACCCTTTATTTCTACTTGCCTGGCTGTGATAGACAGTAGGTTTCTCTCCAACCCACAAACAGGCTATGTTGTCCTGCTTCCCTAAGAGTTTGGATCTCCTGGGAAAATCAGGGTAACACTTTGCCCTGTTGTTCTGAAAGGAACAGATAGGTTTAATGTCTTGTATCTGTTTGTGATCAAGTATTCTTAGAATTTTAAACTAAAAGGGGAAGGTGCATAAGCAAGAGAGATGAGACAGAAAATATGTAGTTAGCTCGTGAACAAGTGGCAGGAGGAGGAGTCCAAATGCTGATGACAGTGCCTTTAGTCCATTATCTTCATGGTGGCGTGCAGACAGACCTGGTGCTGGAGACAGAGCTGAGAGTTCTACATCTGGATCAGCAGACAGCAGAAGCAACTATGTGTCACACTGAGTGTAGATTAGGCAAAGGAGACCTCAAAGCCCACTCCCACAGTGACACTTCCTCCAACAAAGCCACACTTCCTATAGTGCCACTCCCTATGGGGGCCATTTTCTTTCAAACCACCACACATGCTGTCTTACAGTTTGTAGAAGGCAAGGAGACAAGAACAGAAATAAATTTATTTGCGAGGCAGCCTTGGCGCCAGGGGAGTGGGGGAAGTAGAGGTTGGGGAATGTGGTTAGGTACCAACTTGCCTCCTTGGTTGTAGAAACAACTTTTTTTTTAAGTCTAATGGAGGAAAATGACATCTGAAATTATCCCATTCTTGAAAGAAAGGAATCCGGGGTTTCTCTGGAATGTAAAACTCTGACTCATTCTGGGTCTGACCATTTGTTGCTTCTTGGTCCATTCTTTTGATAAGTCTAGAATGGGAAACTTTTATATCTTTTTCTTGGTCAGCTTTAACTAATGTTTCCACATGCCTGTCAAAGAGGTTCATATTGCAACTGTAAACAAAGGTAACGGTTTATTAGATGGAAGGGGCCCAGGTACTTCTTTAAGAACATCTTCTTCCCTGCTACTTGCCAGGGCTTCAGCATAGCATCAGGAAGCAAAGTCTAGTACTCTAGAGGGACCGGTCTCAGTGACTTGTGCAAGGGAATTGCTTAGGGACCTAACACTCCTCTTAACTTGCCCGAGTGACCTTCAGTTAAGCTGCCACAGGCTTTGACCTAATCACCTTTGAATATGGTGTGCCCCTCTTCCTTTTTTTAGGAGATGAGAAATTCATTGATAGCTTCCAATTTCCCTTTCCCATCTCTCTTAAAGTAGTCACACGTTTATGTCTTTTACTCTGTAGTGTTCTTATTTGCCTTTGCTGAATAAATGTTGTTGGCAAAGTAGGCTAATCCAGTGATAGGAACCAGTGGTATGTTGTTAGTTCTGATGAGTATGTAATACCAATTGAAGTTAAACTGCAGATACTGCTCTTGTTTTAAGTGTTTGGAAGTATTAGAAGATGGTAACACATGCTCTTTCACTGTTCTCAAATAGCTGTTAAGTGTTTGTGTGTGTTACACAGTTCTTTTCCCACCTACCCTTTTTCTACTAGGTTACCAATTTAATAGTTACTGGTGCTATTGAAACGACTTACTTGGAATGTAGCTCAGCTCAGTGGTAGAATACTTGCCTAGCATATGCAAGGACCTGGTTACACCCCAGCCTCACCAAATAGGTAAACAACAGTAATAAATTGATTAGCTCCACATATTAGCCTACATATTTTCTTTGTAGTTTTATTTTTAATAAAGAAATAATCATTGTTTCTGTTTAGGTGGTATAATCTGATGTTTATTATATGCATATGTTGTAGAGTAATACATATCTTCACATTCTTACTTATTTACAATAAGAACATTTAAAATCACCCTATTGCAATTTTTAGATCTGGGTATGATGGCCCATTACTAGAATCTCATCATACTACACATAGGAAGCTGAGGTTGTAGGATTGAGAGTTTGAGGCCCAAGAACCCAAACTGAGCTAGCAACACAGACAGCCTTACGTCTTTTATCCCTGTTGTAGGTGGTGAGTGTGTCTCATCCTATTTGTGGGTGTTGGACTTAACAATCTGACACAATTAGCTAACCACCCACAGAGGAAGGACAAGGTTCTGGAAATAAGAATCCTTGTTGAGTTACCTACCTTAGATTAAAACAAAACAAGGCAAAATGTTTCTCATATAAATGCTATCATCTACTTCTATGAAGTCAGCTTTTGAGATCCCATGTGTTCATTTTACCTTTATGTGCTTATTAGCTCATTGCAGTTAACCTGATGTCCTTTGGTGTCATCTTCATTATGGAACACAATCTCTCTTTCTCTCTCTCTCTGGTTTGGTAGTATTACCACTATGTATATACAGCACGTTTTCTTTTTTCATAAGAAAAAAATTGAGCTTAAAGACAATTTTATTAGAGTTTTGAAAAGATATTGGCAGTTGCCTAGACAAGGGAGACAGAAAAGAGGAAAATAGAAAGCCATCTGAGTTAGGCTGTCTTAGAGAACTTTAATTTTTAAAATTATTATTGTCGCTGTTGTACATGTCTGTGTGATGAGGTGAGGCATTAGCAACGTACCATGTGCCTGTATGGAAGTCAGAGGACAACTTTGTGGGTTTAGTTCTTTCTCTCTACCTTTTGGTGAGTTCTAGGGAATTGAACTGAAGTCATCTAGCTTTACTGGTTGAGTCACTTCACTGGCATGAAGATGGCATATTTTCTTTACCCATTCCTCTATTAATGGACACTTGGGTTGATTCTTGGCTCTTATTTAGCTATATGCCATTACATGGTACCATAGTAAAGTAGCCAAATAAATGTTTCTTCAATCTACCAATTTCCTTTCATTTAAATACACAAGCGTGGAACTGCCGAGTCATTTAGTAGTGCAGTTTTTAACTATTATGAGGACCCTCCATCTGTTTGCCATATTATGTATAAGAGACAGTGTCCCTGTTTACGTCCTCATGAGTATTCACTTCCTGTGTTTTCTATAGCAATCGTAGAGGAGTGAGATCGCTCTTTGTGGTTTATTATATTTCCCCAATGATTTGTGATATTGAGGATTTTGTTTTCAAAATCACGTGCCATTTTTATGTTTTCTTTTAAGATATCTAAGCATCTCTTTTGTTCTGTCAATGAACTGGATTGTTTTCTTGCTGTTCAGTTCTTACGTATTTTTGGATATTAGCACTTGTCAGATTATAGTTGAAAATTTTCTCTCTTTTGTAAGAGTTACTTTGGCTCTTTTGATTATTTGTTGTAATGCAGAAATTGTTATTTATTTTCTTAGGTAATTTTGTCTGTCTGATTTTGCTCCTATTGCCAGAGGTTTTGAGGTTTTTATTAAGGGAAAAAAATAAAAGGCAAAAAACCTTTCTCCAATCCAATATCATGAAGCTGCCCCAAGTAGTTTCTTTCTTTTGTTTTATTCTTTTTTTTCCTCTTTCCTCATCTTTTTTGTGACAGCATCTTACATTGTAGTTCAAGGTGGCCTTGAGACCCACCTGCCTCAGCCTTGTGAAGACTGTGTATGTGGGAGTTACCACACCTGGTTTTAGCTTCAGTTCTTTAATTCATTTTGAGTTGACATATACTAAGATAAGGGCTTGCTTTAATTCTTCTTTGTATCAACATCCGGGCAAACCTTGCTACTCATTTTCATATCTTAATATAAGACAATACTGTGTTCCAAATCCACTGTAATTTTTAAGAGTTTGAGAATAGTTCAGGCAATCCATGGTTCCATTCTTCTTGGCCTTTCCTTGTATCTTTCCTACCCTTGTACTGTCTTAGGTTCCTAAAGATTGATTATATGGATGGGAAGTTACATTTTAAACTCCTGGAGCTTATTACTTGCTTAACTAAATTGTTCATTCATATCCAAACAAGTCACACACGTGTAGTTATTTTCCATTTTTTTCATGAGAAGAAGATAATGTTTCACTTTCTGGAAATGTTAGGAAGCATCTTCATTTATAAAAAGATGTTTTTTAGAAATTGTCTGTATGATTGAGTCTGTTACGCAAGTGTGACTTCCCGAAGGAAGAGAGTGTTGTGGAACTGACTCGAAGTAGAAACTCCATCAGAGCTGATTTCAAAAGCTGAGTTTAAGCGGTAGTTTTTAAAAACAGTTTTAGATTTTTAAATAGTTAGCCTCTTACTACTTATGCCGTCTAACACCAGTTGCTTCCTTCTCTGTTGCAGAGAGCAAATCCATCATGTCTGTCTTGCTTCACTAACTTGATCCTATGCTCTTAGTGATAGACTTCAGCTTCCTTTTCTTCTCTTCTTCCCTTGTTCACTTCTTTACTCTACGGAGGTATCTTTCTGGCCTTAATTTGCTTCTGGCGAGAAGGATGTTTAATAATCAAATAGCTCCTCCTTGATGCATAGGCCCTTCTGAGTTCTGGTTAACCTCCTTCACGAGTCTTCCTCGTTTTCCAGGACAGTCTCCGTAAGAAGGATGACAGGATTGAAGAGCTGGAAGAGGCACTGAGAGAAAGTGTGCAGATAACTGCAGAGCGTGAAATGGTGCTGGCACAAGAGGAATCAGCCAGGACCAGTGCTGAGAAACAGGTCTGCGATTTTATGTAGCAGTGGGTAAACACAAGGTAAAACCAGTGTAGTTGGGTGAGCCGGATGTGCTGACTGCTCATGGGGCTTCAAAACTACTCCACCAAGTATTATTTCTTAGACTTACAGAGTGACTAAAATATAACTGTGCAAGGGTTGGCTCATGTTACCGTTGAGATCTCTGAAGTAATAATTTAGGGGTGATTCATAGATATTTATGTAGTAAAAGCTAGTAAAATATGTGACTGACATAACATGCAACATGTCTGTTTGCTACATGACTGCAAAACCCCAGCTTTGGAGGTGAATGAGAGAACATAAACATGTCTCAGTTAGAAAATAGTTTCTTTTATATCTTTCATTCAAAGAGCATTTAAGGTTATAAAAAGTTAATAGCATATTTGAACAGCATAGATATGGTAGCGTTCCACTACCAGATTACCCTGTCTCAGCCTTGTGTTACTTGAAAGGTTCTGCCACTGCTGCTCATGGAATCTGTTTTATATGCTTCTGCTTCTCTTGTTAGATCTCTTTATGCTTGCTTTTGACTCTTTATTAGAAGGAATAAATAAAGATGGGAGCTATAAATGAAAGGAACAGGTTTATTAAATAAAAACTGGCATCGTAGTTCCTGTTTTGAAAATGTGACTCTAGGTTTTAGATCTACCTAACACAGATACCAGAACATTTAATTTTTATAGCACCCTGCCCCTTGTGTATATGAGAGACTAAAATTCTTTTTTTTAAATAATATTTCTTTCTTTTTTTTTAGATTTATTTATTATGTATACAAAGTTCTGCCTGCATGTACACCTGCAGGCCAGAAGAGGGCACCAGATGTCATTATGGATGGTTGTGAGCCACCACGTGGTTGCTGGGAATTGAACTCAGGACCTCAGAAAGAATAGCCAGTGCTCTTAACCTCTGAGCCATCTCTCCAGCCCGAGACTAATAAATTCTATCTAGGTGTCTTAGTTAGGTTTCTATTGCTGTGATAAAGCACCATAATCAAAGGCAACTTGGATAAGAAAGGGTTTATTTCAGTCCATGTCACAGTCTATCAATGAGAGAAGTCAGGCCAGGAACCCAAACAGGGCAAAGGATCTGGAGGCAGGAGCTGATGCAGAGGCTATGGAGGGGTGCTGCTTTCTGGCTTGCTTCCCCCTGGCTTGCTCAGCCTGCTTTCTTATAGAACCCCGGGACCACTTGCTTAGGGGTGGTACCACCCATAGCGGGCTGGGCTCTTCCGCATCAATCAGTAATTAAGAAAATACACTATATATAGGGTTGCCTACAGGCAAATCAGGCATATGTTTCTCCTGAGGGTCCCTCTTCCCAAGTGACTCCAGCGTGTGTCAGTTTACATAAAGCTAGCCAGGACACCAGGTAAAGAGAGTCCCGTGACATGGTAGCAAGAGACTAGTGGGAAACCCCTGCTGAGAAAGAAGCTGCTGTTGCTGGGCATTCAGGCGATCAGATGGTAAAGAAGTGTCCAGTTCAAGGCAGATCTACCATAGTAGGCACCTCATAGAGGCCCTAGCTGTAGTAGCTTCATTAATAGCTTTTAGTACTTTAGTGTTCCTGAATGTCTAACAGTGTTTATGAGATTGGGTATATCAATATTTGGAGGATATATGTTTGTAATTGTTCTGTCTTCTTGATTGACCACTTTATTCATAACTAATGATGTTCTTTGTCTCTTTATTAATTTTGACTTGATGTCATCTCCCCTTAGGAGCACCTGATTTATTAGGATTCCTGTCTAATGAGCCTCAGCAATCACACTGTCTGACTCCCTAGCTAGGGTTACAGGCATGTGCCGCCTACTACTCCCAGCGTCATTTTTACCCTGGCTTCTTGGGGTGGAGTGAGATCCTTATGCCCACACTGCAGCTACTTGACTGACTGAGCATTCCTCCCAGCCCCCTGCCCTCCTCTCTCTGATTTTGTGTTAGTACCATCCACCTCCATTTTCTTTCCAGCTAACTTGAAATGCACATAACTAAGGACATATTCTGCTTCCATGGAATGAAACTTTATTTACTCCTTAAATTTGTGACCCATTACTTAAAATGTGGTTTACAAAATGTACAGCTTACTCTTAAAACAAGATGCTCACATTTACCAGCTCCTGAGATAAGTGCCTTGTTCATGCTATTGTTTCACCACCAAAACAACACATCTGGGCAGAAAACGAGCCTCTGTGCTCACTTGTCCTCTACAGAGCAGTACAGAATGGTTTCATTTCTTAAGAGTATGAGATCTCTCTGCTTGAAGTAGCGTCCCTCTTCTTAGCACTAGTCTGGAGGGATCCTACTTCTGTAGAACTTCTATGGCCTTTCAGGTCTGACTTTGTGTCTTTGTAGGATTTTGAATAGTTCCCTTCTCTTACCTGTTTTGTAACCTGTTTTAATATATAATATATAATATAATTATATAATATATAATAGGTATTGAAAATACATCCGCTGTTTTCACTAGTATAATATGAGCTTCCTGAGTGCAGGAGGTGTGTCTGTGGACTATTGTGGCTTTGATAGCAACAACCTGCTGGGTAATCACTGGTATTAAATGAACATCTAAGTGGCTTAATTCTATTTTAATAATGAATGAATGAATGGAATTTTATTCTGACCTCTGTGCCTTTACATCATCACCTGCACTCTTTCCTCAGCCCTCAATGTGATTTTTAAGAAACTTTCCTTAGAGTTCCCCGTGTACTAGTGTATGGGATCCTGCATACTTATAGGAAACGTGTCATACAACTTAAACGTTACCTCAAGACTAGTTCAAACTGCTACTTCTCTACATTTAATAACTGTCTGAAAATTTGTGGGAAAAGAAAGGAGTCATTTCATTTTAAACCAAAAGACTCCCTTCAAACATTGAGCCTTATTATAACCTGTGTGTGTGTGTGTGTATGTGTGTGTGTGTGTGTGTGAGAGAGAGAGAGAGAGGGGGGTCTGCATGCCAGCCTGTGTGTGCATGCATGTACATAGTCACATGATACTTGGGAGTTCCCTTTCTGCATTGTAAGACATTTAATTAATTAATTAATTAATTTATTTTTAGCAAAACAAACCTCTGATAAGGTAAAATGATTCACTTTGAAACTACGTTGTATTTTGTGTAAAATCATATTTATAAAGTTATTTTGTAAACAGTTTTGAAGTAATAATTGTCATCTTCATATTAAAGAACAAAAATATATCTTAAGAGTTTCAATAAAATTATTAATAAAAGATAAAACACTCCCAACCATCTGTAAAACTAACAAGTACAAGGGCAACAGCATGATTTTTAAATATCATAGTATTAGTAATGCTGAAAGATATCACTCCCTGGTAGAAATGTTGAGGACATTGTCAAATGAAAACAGTGTTATGAAAGTACAGAAATTGAATATGTACTAGATAGTGAGAATGGGATTATGTAGAATTTAAACCTCTTTAAGTCAGTGGCATAATTTTTTAGTATGGTCGACGTTCCTCATTGTATGTATTATAGGAGGATAAATCTGTGAATCTGTAGATTCCTTCACATGATCTTCTGTATCCTTACTGCTCTTAAAGTTTATCTTCATGTAAAAACAAGACTTAGATTAGTCACGTTTTAGCCATTATGACTCCCTCTGTAACTTTGCCAGTTGGGGTCAGTATGTAGCTACTGCAACAGTTCTAACGTTCCAGAAAGTAACCATATGAGATAGTAGAACCTAACTCTCAAAAACTCTGATTTGTATCTAATAGTATTTTTTAAGTATGCATTTAGAATGATGTCTTGTTATCATGCTTTCTTTTAAAAGTGTTTTTGAAACTAATAGCTTATGTCTTCCTTGACATTCAGGAATTATTTATGCCACCAAATTTGGGCTTGAGTTTTAATTTTTCATTGATATTTTCTAAAGTTGTAATCAAATGAAAAATTAACTTGCGGTGGACTTAAAGTAAAAGGTTGGTACACCTTTTACTTTAGGAATTGTCCCATAGAGATAATTGCTAGAAGCTATTGACGTTCTTATGGTAGATGTGGCATACTTTTATCTACACTGTGTGAGAGACCTTTGTACGAGAGAGTATCTGGGGAACCTCCAGCATTGGACATATGCTCTGTTTATAATGAGTGCTTGAGAGTTTTGGACCTTATTCTTTTATTTCCTATGGAGTTTAATAGACTCAGTTACTGATCATGGCTGTAGTTATCCAAGGTACAGTAATAGGTGAGCCCTGGGAAGTGGGCAGCTTCTCACTGGTTTCTGTGTGTAGTGATGCTGTCTTTATGTACATCATACCGAATGTTTTCACTGGAAGGATTTTCCTAGAGAAATGTGCACAGTATAATTTGTCCTACCCAGTAGGTAGTTCTTGTATGTGTTACATCCTAAATTATAGTTTGCTAATTATTTCTTTCTCTTTAATAAACTGTTAAAATTGACTAGAGGTTAGTGTGAAGTGTATTGGATCAAAGATCAAACAGTATGAATTTTATTTTTTGCTCTTTTTGCTAGCTGTGATTTAGTAAATTCCCTAACTTCTCCAAGCCCTTCTTTTAGATGGAAGAAATCATTCCCTTCACAAGCATCCACTCATGTCTCACACTGTGATAACCTGTAAAGGCTCCCTTCAAATGTTGAGCTTTATTATGGCCTCTGTGGGGTGTGTGTGTGTGTGTGTGTGTGTGTGTGTGTGTGTGTGTGTGTGTGTGTGTCTGTGTCTGTCTGTCTGTCTGTCTGTCTGTCTGCATGGAAGGCTGTGTGTACATGTATGTACATACTTGATTTTGGGAAGTTCCCTTTCTTGGGTTGTCAGACATTAAATTCCATTTTTTTTCTTCTGGCAAAGTAAACTTTTGATAAAGTGAAATGACTAATTTCGTTTTCCACAGTTTGTTTACCTGAGTTTCTTCCAGGTTCCAGATGGTAGAAGGAGAGAACCAACTCCCACAGGTAGTCCTCTGACTTCCATATGTATGCGTGATTGCCCCTCACCAAATCAGGGGCATTA